AAAATTGCTTAAATAGTGATTTTTAAATTAATTTTATGATGATTATTTCTTAAAAATAGAATGAAACTAATATGTAAGAGTAAAATCTAATAAAAATATCAAAAAAAAAACGTTTTATAAATTGACCGATTTGATAGGTAAAATGAACCAATTGAACCAAATCTAGGGGCCAAAACAATTCAACCACCAGCTTGGGCCCAAAAACACTGCACATGTCCTCTCCTACTATTAAAAAAATATATCAATTTTATCCCTTTCCAATTTTTGGGTAACGGTTAGTTTGTTGACCATTAACCATTAACCATTTAGACATCCAACCCCTTCTTCTTTTTCGTTTTTTTTTTTTTTCAACAACTGGGCTTTGGTGACCCCTACCAGTGCCACATTAGATCTCCTGTAAAATTGTCGCCGGCACTATTTTTGAGGTCAGCCCCAAAATACGATTAGGATCAGAGAAATTGAAGTCGGAGCTTCCGTCTCTCATTTGGGGCTCTATCTCAGCCCAACTAGCCGATCCGCTAGACGGCACCAATCCTCCGATGGAACCGCCGCTCCAGAACCAGAATTAGTTGCTTCCAGTAAAGAATCCAACACTGGAGAGGACAGCAACTGAACGTACCTATTCCTCAAATGCGTGCACGAAGATGACGAAGCAAAATTCTGGACAAACTGGTTAAAAGAACGTGGAGATTTCTTCGGGTTCAGCTGTAGACGACGGAGCGAATCCATACAGATCTGCCATTTTCGAGCAGAAAAATCAAAGGGAAAGGAGATGGAATCGAAGAATAATTAGAATCAGCAGCTAGGCAACATCAAGCCGCTGGTACTTTTGCGATTAATTTCTTGCTCTCTTTCTCTGCTGTTCTTAAGAGAAAGAATTTTAGTTTTGAGGTTTTAATCAGCAATTTTCGAAGAAGATGACGGTCAGCATGGAGCTCATTTTGCAAGCTGCATAATTAGATTTTTGATTAATCTCCTGCCTAATTATCAAACATTTTCTCGCACCTGTCCCGAAGGGTCAAGTGGCATTCAGGCCAACTTGAGGTGCACCCCTCCTTCTTGTGCAGGTTCGAACCCGCTCCATGACAACATTGTTAAAAAAAAAAATTTATCAAACATTTTCTCACTCTCTCCGTTTTATAGCCCCATACTTATTTTATAATTCGTTATTATCCCTTTATTTTGCTTTATGCTTAATTCCGCCACATCCATATATTTTGTTCCAAAAGCTCCTTTTCTTTTAATCGGCTTGTCTTTATTATTTATTAGAAAGTAAAGATATTTTTTTTTTATATTTTAATTTTTAAGACTATTTAACTTAATATAAGCTTTCCAAAACTTGCAAGTTTTCTTTTTTATTTTTAAAATTTAAAACTAAATTGAGATAATTTCCCCTAAAATTTTTGAATTTGAAAATTTAACTGAAAAAAGAAAAGAAAAGAAAGATAAAAGATCCAACTTGTATTTTTTGCAAATAATTTGTTTAAAATTTGATGGAGTATGATAAATAGTGTTGACTGTTGAGTACAGTTTGACAATTTCAATGTAGGGAGAGGGACAGCTGGAGCTGGAGGAGGGATGGAAATGAGATAAGAAAAAATTGTAGGGACTTCGGTGACATTCACGCATTATTATGGAGGTTAGGGAAAAATGTCGAAGAGTGCTTAGTATGTGTGTTATCCAAACAAACGTGTCAGCTAGAGAGCAAGGGGCATCAACTGAAAAAAAAAAGAGTGAACAACTAAACGTTGTCTGATTCCTCAAAAAAAAAAAAAAACAACAACAACGTTGTCTGATGTGGCGCTGGTGGGTCTACCAAAGCCTAGTTGTAAAAAAAATGGAAATAAAAAACTTGGATGGAAGGGCAACATTGATACAGTTTTTAATGGTAGAGGGGCAATATTTGTAATTAATTAATAGTAAAAGGAGAACTTAAGGTGAATTGAAAGTAGAAGATTTAAATTGAATTTTTGTTTCGATAGTAGAGGGATGACTATTGGCAGTAACCCTTTCTATTTAGATTTATTTCTTTTGCTCGGATTTGCAATGGCAGTGACCGTGTTGGAGAGACATATTTTCAAACCAAAAGACTAATACTTTAATTTGACAAGTAAACATATTTAAACCACTCACTATTCTCTCAATTTTTCCAGGGGAGACCCTTATTCTTCACGTCCCTATAGCCTATGGTCACAACTTACATCAAATTCAATGTACTGGAATAGTAGAAACAAGAACCAAACTTGTGGTCAACACGATATTTGGTTATGTCGTTATTGGCATTTATGTATTTAAGTCTGTGGTCACCTTCTCACCTTTTTAGACCACTCAAGCGCCTCCATCTTTGACTAAAATTGAAACTCCATTATAAGAAGAAAAGGGGGCGACATTGCTTCAAGCCAAAAAAACAAAGAACAAAAAATGGAGGAAAAATGGGTTGGAGCAATTGTATTGTTGGTTTTGGTAAGTGGATGGTATTGTTCTTCTTGTTGTGGGTGTTTGGAGGAAGAGAGAGTTGCCCTCTTAAACCTCAAACATTCAATCCCTCCCCCAACCGACTATGTTCTAGCATCTTGGGTAGGGCATGGTGATTGTTGTAAATGGGTTGGGATTGAATGCAATATCACAACAAAGAGAGTGTTTCAGCTTTCTCTTAATCTTACTAGGGGTTGGGATGTTAAGGGTTGGTATTTGAATTCTTCTCTGTTTTCACCCTTGGAAGAGTTGAAGAGTCTTTTCTTGTGGGGCAATAGCATTTTTGGCTTCATGAAGAATGAAGGTCATTCCTTTCTTTCTACTCAAGCAACATTTTTAGTTATTCATTTTGTGGGATGTACGATAGTAAAATTTTTGGTTTAGCAACACAACTAACCATATTAATTTCTTGCACAGGTCTAGAAAAGTTGTCAAGCTTAAGCAATTTGGAGGTTCTTGATTTGAGTTATAATCAATTAAACAATAGCATCCTATCATCTTTGGCAAGTCTTTCATCCTTAAAAGTGTTAAATCTAGCCAGCAATCAGATGGAAGGAAGTCTTCATATTCCCGGTAGTTTTTTACATAACATAACCAATTAATCTGATACACTTTAAGAAATGAGGCATAATATCCAATTTTTAACATTATTACGTTTCTTGAGGGACTTGAAGCTGCTCATTAATTACTTGTAAATGCATAAAGAATGCTTATTACTCACAAATCCTATTTGCAGGTGTTAAAAGACCATTGGGACTAAGTAATTTGGAAGTGCTTGATTTGAGTGATAATTCTTTCAATAACACAATTTTATCTTCCCTAAAAGGGCTTTCATCTCTCAAAAGTCTCGATTTGGGTTGGAACAAATTAAAAGGAATACTAAATATTAAAGGTAGATCAACTGTTTCACTTATTTTTTGTTTATATCAATCATTGTATATCCTTCTAATAAAATCTTTTTTTTTTAACTCATTGGAATTTAACTAATTTTATTTTGTCTCTACGACTACCAAAATTAGTTGGTTTAAATGAGTTGAAGGAGCTTGATTTAAGCAACAATAATGTGAAAAGTTTTGTGGTTCCCAAAGGTACTAATGAAAGTAGAAAATATGGTTATGATCAGGCCCCACCATTTTGTTCATTTCATCAAGAAATACCCTAAAATATTTAGAAAATTTGATCTATTAGTTTTATACTCATAAATTTTTTTATGAAACAATAAACCCTTTTGCAATCGTTAAAAGACCATTGGGCCTAAGTAATTTAGAAGTGCTTTATCTATACAATAATTCTTTCAATAACACAACTTTATCTTCCTTAAGAGGGCTTCCATCTCTTAGGATTCTTGATTTGCGTAAAAACAAATTAAAAGGAATACTAAATGTTGAAGGTAGATCAATTGTTTCACTTATTTTTTGTTTTCATCAATCATTTTATATCCTTCTAATGAAATCTTGTTTCTTTTCCCTCATTGTAATTTAATTGATTTCATTTTGCCCTGTGACTGCTAGAATTAGTTGGTTTAAACAAGTTGAAGGAGCTAGACTTAAGCAACAATAATGTGGAAAGTTTTGTGGCTCCAAAAGGTACTGATAGAAGTAGAATGTGTGGTTATGATGAGGCCTTGTCATTCTATTCCTTTCATCAAAAAATACCCTAAAAGAATTAGCAAACTTGATCCATTAGTTTCATACTCATAAATTTTTTTGATGAAACAATAAACTTTGTTGCAGGTATTAAAAGACCACTGAGCCTAAGTAATTTGGAAGTGCTTCATTTGTATGATAATTCTTTCAGTAACAAAACTTTATCTTCCCTAAGAGGGTTTTCATCTCTCAAGAGTCTTGATTTGAGTATGAACAAATTAAAAGGACTACTAAATATTAAAGGTAGATAAATTATTTCACTTGTTTTCTATTTTCATCTGTCATTGAACATCTTTCTAATTAAATAATGCTCCTTTTCCCTCTTTTTTATTTGATTGTTTGTATTTTGTCCCCACTAGAATTAGTTGCTCTAAACAATTTGAAGGAGCTGGATTTAAGCCGCAATGAAGTGGAAAGTTTTGTGGCTCCTGAAGGTACACATGTTCAAACTAGAAAGTTGGTTATAATGAGGCCTAGTCATCTTGTTCCTTTCATCAATAAATCCCTAAAAGAATTAGAACACTTAACCCAATAGTTTCATACTAGTAAAATTTTTTATTGAACTATAATTTACTTATGCATCAATAGAGAAACATTTCGCTCAAGCTCAAGTAGAACTTTTAAGGCCATGTTTACAATCGCTACTATGGAGCATATGTCCTTTTCAAAAGATCATGAGTTTGCTACAAGTTCACATCTCTGCAACTTTAAAGCTTATCTTGATCCCCTCTTTTGCTTGTAGATACAAGAAGTTCAAGTGTGTTAGAAGTCCTATATCTAAGTGAGAACAACAACACTTGTGGAAGCTGTCTAGTACAGTCAATCAGGGCATTCCCTTTAATTAGGACCCTTGATCTTACTTACAGTACATCTATAGAACCAGTGATTGCTATAGGTAAGTATTCTAGACAAGCAAAACGGAGAA